TTTCAAAATGGCGGCGTACAAAGTTAGTGTAATGGGACAACTTTTAATTTTATACAATTAACGCCCTTCAGCCCATATAGCAATAAACTCAGATTCGGTAACTTCACACGATATGATTGTTCAAATGCAATCGCGTTTAGGTAAGCGATAAACGCTAAATTTTGTTTAACGTTATTTTTTAGCTAAACTATTTTTGACTTTTTTTTTATCGCTGCACATTGATACGACAAACAGTAGCTACACCATTCTTTTTTCTGATTCGTGTTTATTTGAATCAAGATGCAGGACCCATTGTGTAGTATCGTCGAATTTTCGATTTCCTCCAATTGCTAGAAAGATCCCGGCGAGCAAGCGAATTATTGAGATAAAGATATACAAGGTGTATAGACCCGAAATGGCCTTATTTGTGTTGATCTCCAGACTTAATCAAAATCGGTTACAAACTTCAAATAGTTGTTAAGATAGGGTAAACGGGACATGTCTTGACTGTAAAGTTGATATGTCAAAGTTACGAGTTCTCGTCGAAATAAATATTTTTACAAATTCGGTTTTCAGATTCAGTAATGAACGCTTTCTATATCCGGTTGATTTCAAACCTTTTATACTTACTAGTAATATATATTATGATTAGAATAGACCTGTCAAAGTTTAACAAGGTCACCATTGCCAATTTCCTTTTCTTTTACAGATTCTAGCTAATTCTGGCTAATGAACACTTTATTTAAGCAACTCAAACTTCAGATTTATTGGCAGAATAAGGCGGGGTATAAAACTGATCTTCACGAATATAGTTGAAATTTTTCATTGATATTTATTTTTTAATTAAATTGTTTCCAAAATCTCCTTTTCAAATTTGATGTACTTATTGGACGTGTTGGACGAAGCATCTATTAGTCTAAACAATATTTAATTACATAAACTGACTGATCAACAGGTCAAGCCCTATATAAGTTCCCTCTAGGTCATTTTGGGACTAACATGTGGTTCAATTTTATTTCAATAATTCGCTTGCGAGTAAAGGTACTCCTTGTAACGTCCAACCGGGGAATCGAAACCATGCCAGTTGACTCAATGACAGGCCTTATGACACAACGCGCACGCGCTAACCATTCAGCTCCCCACCGCCTTCCAGTAGAAGCATCTATTGCATTATGCTACTCTCTCATGCACTGTAGCGAATAGGAAATTTGGAATTTGCCGAAAATGATAACATTGGTTTGGGAAAATACGGACAAGGGTGAGGCCTTGCAAATGTTTATTAATGCTTGCGAATTTCTTACGAATAATCTTGTGAAGCTTGCGAACGCCTTGTGACTGAAACTAATACACAAGGCATGCTTAGCGAGTTGCATATATAAACCATTTGACCACACTTACGATGAATTACGAATGCAATTCACCACCTATTCGCAATGATTGCCAGATATTGCGACTATTGGGAACATGCTCCTAAAATTCACCAGGATAGGATATTTTTATTGCTTTCGCAATGTTTTCGAATATTGTTCGCTTGGCATTTGTAGTGATCGTAAGACGTTTGTAAGAATTTGCAAGGATTCGTAACTGGCCTTACCAGTTTTGTTTTGTTTTTTTGGGTTTTTTTGTTTGGTTTTTTGTTTTTTGAAACGACGTACCGAATCACCTTCTTTATAAACGGGTTATGGGTCTTTTTTATGAACATCTAATAACGATGCAGTAATGTAATCATCAGTGACATAATCATGGATTACAGGCTTTAGGGTCACGGCAAATTATATACTCTTCATCATTTTTTTTATTTGAACCGGATGGTTGTTTACATAAATCTTACTTGTTTTTAATGTCATTATGTAAGGATAAAATAAATTCATTATTGGTTTCAAATGTAGGTTCACTAATTTTTGCCGAAATTTGTTTTCGCTTGATTGCACTAAGAAACATGAGTATAACAACTTCGCAAGCTTTTCGTAGGAAACCCAAATCTAAGGCCTTTAAAATCCCGTGGTTTTCGGTTTAAAATCAGTTCCACATGTAAAACACTCAACGAACCAAGTGATGCCACATCTGACTGAAGACCAATTCAACAACGCTATCGGTCGGTTACCGGCAAGTGAATACCAGACAGATGTAGCCAGGCTGATGAATGTTTCCCAGAGTACCATTTCTCGCCTTTGGGATAGGTACCGACAGCGAAGTTCAACACGTGACAGCCCAAGTTCAGGCCAAACAAGAATGACCAGGAATACCCTGGATCGTCACATTTGGTTACGTTATTTGCGGGAACGGTTCACAATAGCGAACTCTACTGCTGCAGCAATTCCTGGACGGCGTAGGATCTCAGACCAGACAGTCCATAGTTACATTCTATATTTCATTGGTATCATCAATTGTGTGTTTTCTTGACATTTCTACTATTATTTTACTATCAACTGCCACTCTTACTATTAACTATATGTTTCACTGTAATCTTCAGTTTGTTTCACATTTTTGCATGTTTTACTGTAATTATCTTAACCACTTATGCGCTGTCCAATAATTATAGCCACCATCATCAATTTCGGTGCTATTGATAATTACGCATTTTGCATTAACTTATTTTTTATGAAATTTCGGTTCATTGAATTATGGGAGGTTGGTTGTCCGAATTGTTAGCGCGTACGCGTTTTATCATAAGGTCTGTCATTGAGTCAACTGGCGTAGTTTTGATACCCCGGTTGTACGTGACAAGGCGTAGGGTCGCCTGTCCAACCTCGCGGGTTTTCTCCGGTCCTTCGACTGCTAAAGACCCCTACGCGCAAGCGAATTATTGAAAAAAAATTAAACCATGTTAGTCCGGAAATGACATGGTTTGTGTCGAGTGGACGTTAAACCCCATTTCTCTTTCTATCTCTCTCTTGAAGAGATGAAACGCACACAGTTATTACCACTAAATACCAAACTCAATATCATTGTAAAGGACGTTTGAAATACCCCTACTATTACTTAAATAGCATATTCTTGTCTAACAATTATTGGGAAATTAAAGTTGATTTTGTGGAAAGGAATCAGAAATTAAGCGCTTTAATTCGCCATGGTTTAATTTGAGTTATTGACTAACAATCAAGCAATGCAACCAAACAGGCAGTTTCTATATTAGTTCGATAATGATGACAGAAATTAGATGCTTTGTTATGTCTGATGTCTAATAATTCTAGCTTTTAACATAGGCGATTCTCATCAATATTTAAATTTAATTAGTCTAAAGATCCTCTGTTTATTATAAGTTAATTACTTAATTGTTGTTATTACTTCTAGAATCATCCTGTGTGTCGCCAAAACATCGTAATTCTGTGTGTCTGGTCAATTAAAATGATGGTTTTAGAATGATTTAATTCTCGGGAGTTTCCAGCATGTATGCCATTAAATAATGTACTGATTTATGTAATCACACGCCAAAAGAGTCATGTCCTATTAGCTCTATGTCCTTTCATTCAGATAAAAGATTATTTACAAAATACCACATAGATTTTAAGCTCTATAAAACTCCCTAAAATGACACCGGATCTTCCAAGAAGCGTTAGCATGGCCTACCACATGCATAAGTCTGATAATGATTCATTAAATATATGTTTAGAAATACATTTTGATTTCAGTGCTCACATTCGGATTGAGGTTAAACTCGTGTGATAGTAGCAGGCGATAAAAGCCTGCTACTAATGGGTGTACAAGATGTTTATTGTCTGTAAAGGACAAACAATCGGTAAATAACGCGTTTTAAAGATGAAGGGGACTAAATGAACTCCAGTGCCTGCAAGATGGCCTGGAGCTCAGCAGTAAATATGGAAACAGCAGGTGCAAGCCTAACGGAAATGATTCCAGATGGCGTGACGGTAGCCGAAGCTACCCTATCGCATCTTTGGAACCATCTGTGTAAATGGGAGCATAATTCTTGATAGAGACTGAAACACCACGGAACTAGTATCTTTCTGTTTGTTTTTTGTTCGATCTAAATCGAACCATGGAACTAGTATCTTTCTGTTTGTTTTTTGTTCGATCTAAATCGATTTTGGTAACATTTGGCGAGAGGCATTGGGGTCATAAGAGGAGGGCCCTATCCATATCCAGTATGCCTTTACCTTCAACCTTAAATTACTTTAAAACCTTATTTAATTAAAAGCGAACACATCTCTGTGGTACTATTGTATCTCCAAGATTGTTTTTCTTAAGTAAAATGTCCCTGTAATTAGAACCAAAATAGATTTCAAAAGATTCCAAAATAATTTTAATCGAAGGTTTCAAAACCCTACTGAGGCTAAAACATGTTGTTTAATATAAATATTAGAATGGTCGATTTTTAAACAAGATCACAAACACAGGAAATTTATAAAAAAAAAACCCTTTGTCATTGTCATTTAAATATTACTTCCAAAAATACATATTTTTGATTTAAACACGTTTTAATTTTATATTAACCAAAATAAACAACGATTTTATTATATTTTAGGTGAATAATAGTTGACAATTTTTCTGGACAAAACAGAAATGCAATTTTCTTCCAGATATAAACTAAACGTTTTGTGAAACACGAACCGTTAATTTGTAAATCCTGGTCGCAGTTGATAATTTATAAATGTCCCATTATAGCCGGAATTTTATTTTATTAAGCGTTTTAACATATATTTTTTTTAACTGTACACAAAGATGTTTATACACATGGTATGCACGTTCGAGATCAAGCTTAAATAATGATTAGCTTGGACATAATTACATCACGCTATTAATATTTCAATCATTACGTTCTTCTTAAAGACAATGAAGTGAAGCTTACAAGAAAACGTACCACCGTACTACGTCTATAGACCAGGAACCGAACATGACTTCATCGCTGCAATCTTGGAATTGTGACGTCATAATTCAAGATTTGCTGACTATGTAGCGTTACAAATTAAAATGCTACCGAAAACAAAAATTCCACATTGGTGGTACTACATAATTTATTTTACGATTGACTTATAACATAATTTCTATTCTCTATTTTCCAGGTTATGGACATATAGCACCTAAAACATTCTATGGACGTCTAGTCACTATATTTTACGCTTTGGTAGGCATACCATTAACATTACTATGTTTAGCCAATATGGGCAGCTTTCTCAGCACATGTTTCCGGTGTCTTTACAAGCACAGTTGTAACGCTCTCTTGTGGTTTTGTTGTCCGCAACACATGCGCAGAGATCGACCAAAAAGCAAGTCGAGAAGTAAATATTCACGCCGAAGAGAGCCACCTAGCGCCGAGGAAGATCCTCTACAGGATAAAGTTGATGATAATGGGGAAGTAATCGTTACTATAGAAAGAGAAACAGAACAAATCAAGGAAGAACCTGTTCGTGTTCCCATATTTATAAGTTTAATGATAATAGCCGGCTATATATTTGGGGGTGCTGTTATATTTTCCTTGTGGGAAGAAAAATGGGACTATCTGATAGGCTCTTATTTTTGTTTTGTAACACTGACTACGATAGGATTCGGCGATTTCGTTCCTGGAGCTAGTAGCGCCACCTGGGGTAATAAAGAGAAGAATATATTCTGTGTGTTTTATCTTGTGTTCGGACTGTCTCTTATAGCTATGTGTTTTAATTTGATGCAAGAGGAAGTGCGTGCTAAGTTCAGATGGCTCGGTCAAAAATTTGGAGTTATTGATAAACAGAAAACGTGAAAAATGACAGATTCCCATGTTAGGGTAATGACGTAATCTCATTCAGATTGGCAAATATCAAACGAAGTAAATGGTTTCAAATTTCCATTTGTTACATCGATGTGAAGGAATCAAACACTGAGTGAGGAAAAGTTGCATGTTCATTTCCCAATAACCCCAAGCAATGACACCTACAAGTAAATTGCCACAGAGGTTGTTCAGAGTAGTGAAATGAAACATAATAATATCAAATAACTGTGATTCGTGTGTGCGTGTTCAACTTCTAGGTTAAGATTAAATCCATTGATTTCTAAATTCTTTGCGTCCAACATTTTTTCAAAGCTGTTATAATCTTCAAAAGGAAGAAAAAAAATATGATGAAATTAAAGATTTTACTATCAAAAGTACAGAAAAATCTTTGAAGAACTGCAAACATCATGTGTAAGATATTTGACTCTTGTTCAGATTATCGAAAAACATTTGTTCTTTTAGTCTTTGACAAATGGGCACTCTATGTTGAATATTATTGCGTTTTAGGTTCCTGATAATGTACATCTGAATTTGTTAAAAACATTCAAGGTAATGACGAATTTTCTATATTTTATGGATTTAAAATAAAGACTAACATATAACTTCGATATCCAAACATCAATATTTACCCCTCCAACATTAGCATAGAAAGTATTGTGATCTATATATTCATAGGTAAAGGCAATCTAAGATTATCATTTCTGTCAACATCCATATTCGCCCGTCCGTCCATAATTGTCTTGTTAACATGGCCGAAGTTAAAAGAGTTCTTTCAAATTTGGTGTGAAGCATTTCCGTCATGGGAGGATGAACTTCATCGATATTCAGTGTTCTGTGACCTTACGTTCCGAACGATTTTTTTTTATATTTGGGGTCAAGCATTAGGACTGGGAATAACCGTTTTGCTTTTGAGATTTAGTGAGACGCGTTGGGATCGGAAAAGATGAACCTTGTTGATTTTCAGCAATCTAGGACTTCCTGTTCCAGAAATATATTATAAAATGTCCGGAAAAACTTGTGAACACAATACAGATTAGATTTCCCTTCGAGGCACAGCTATTGTGTTGGCGTATTTCCACGCATTGTAAAATCAAGGTCCATCTTGACTATTAAAGAAGCTGATATTATGTAGGGATACCAAACAAACAGTGATAAGAATATCCCTTTCTTGCATAGAACAATTTGTTTTTTACCAGGAATGTCAAATTCCAAACAAGCATGTATTTTTACATTATTAGACATATTCAATACACTTTTTTCAATTATATTACCACCATGCAGCTCTGGGTGGCGGTAGGGACACACAATTGATTCCACTATGCACAAATGGAAGACAAAAGGAGATGTCAAAAATGCAAAATGCTTATCGTTCCCAGATGTAACATTATCAACAATGTTATCAGCTTTCAGCAGTGCGCGGATGTTTGGCTAATCCAAACAGAAGTCATTGTACTAACATGACTAATGACTGATTGTCTGAACTTGAGGAGAAACTACAACAAAGACAGAGGAAGACCTTGCATTTGACATTGTTCTACTACACCTGGAAGAACATGTTTCGAGCTTGTATATTGGTGCATTTTTTGACTGCATTACAGCAGTGAGATGCCGAACTATCATACCTTATAGCATACCGGCAACATATGTGGCATGTATAAAGTCACTACTGTAGTTTATTTCCTATTCTTTGACAGATACTGACTACTATTTCTGCATGTTCTGAAACAAACATTTTATTAAACTGATATAGATGTTCACTTCATATCCTCTCCATGGGGAAATTATTGCACTTTTCCAGTCGGAAAATCAAACTAACCTACTTCCACTGGAGGCTGATATGTTGATTCTGCATCAGGCTATCACAGGGCCATCTATCAGCGATAAAATAAACTAACGATAGCACCGTTTGTGGCCAGCATGCAGTTAGAGATGAAAGTATATGTGCCCCCCCCCCCCAGATGACACCACTAAACACTGGCCACATATGTGGCCGCGATGCAAGAAAGGGATATAAAACATTCTTTTATTTTTGGAACAAGATCATTGACTAGTTGGTTAGATTTTATGGGGTCTTAAATATAATTACTTCAAGTTTCATCAAAATAGGATAAAAATGGTGACCCCTGGAGGATCCACAACCTAGGTATTACATACTTTTACACTATTTGCATACGGGGAGCGGCCATTTTGTCAGGTAGTTTCGATCCGATTTTCACAAAATTCGAAATCAACGGTTTTTTAAGTCAGATAAAAATTGAGACCCCGATTTTTCGTACAATCAGGAACAATAATCCATGATAATATCGAAGGGAACCGAAATCTTTGGGCTATAACCCTATATTTCACGTTTCGTCAAAATCGGATGAAAGTTGTGACCTGTAGAGTATCCACAAACAAATTTTGGACGGACGTCCGGACTTGCAGGGGCAACGACATAATACGTCCACCTGAAATTGTGAGCGTATGCTCAATGGTACCGATAATCAGGCGAAGTAAAGACGAATATGACACGATTTGACAAGATGCCCTCACGATAGCCCTGTGAAGGACATAATGGACACACGAATTCAAAACAAAAATGAATTTTTGCCAGCGCTCAATAAGTTGATGCCCTCACGAATGGCCCGATGTTTTTACGATCAGAGCCGAATTTGAACATTTACTCTATCGTGTGTCCATATAAAGTCAATTTTGGGACAGCGTGACGCCCGCTTAAAGAAAGTCTGGCCAGCTGTGGCCATGGTCGCCATTCCTTTCCCGAATTCGTAAGTTTGAATAAACCAATATTAGAACAAAACCGATCTAAAACAAACCCGGACGGAATCATAGATCAGCATAAAGTGGGTTGGGGCAGGAACTGTGTTAGTATCTAAAATTGCACAGCAGCAACTATAGAGAAACGGGTATAAGTCCTACTGTTCGGCTCCAACTGGGCTAATAAAGACGGGATTACAAAGTTTAGATATGCCCTGATATGTACTGCTGTTGCCACGTGGCAGTCGTGTATTCTGGATCTACCCCGATGTTAAGTGTGTCCTTTTCAGAGTGTTATGCATAAAGCAATCTTATCGCACGTTAATGAGTTGTGACTAATTGAAACAGTCACAGCCCAGTGCCATTTACACGTGACATTACGGCGCCTATGATAGAATTTGTATATTAATATTGGAAAGATAATATTTATCTAATTTGTCATATTTTGTAAATAAACTGTATATCTAAAATCTAAATTTTAATGCATTTTTAAGTCACTGAGAAATAGTTATATTGACATTGCACATTAATAAAAAGAAAACCTTTCCAGACAGTTAGTAGCTGGTGATTATTATGAACATATATACTCTTCAAAGAAAAAAAAAGAAACGCACAGTCCATTTTTCATCATTTTTTTTAAATGAACGGGACTGTTGTTTCAATAATTCTTACTTGGTTTTAATGTCATCACGTAAGGATAAAAGAAAGTCATTATTTGTTTTAAATGTAGGGCCACTAATTGTGTCTGGTCATACTTTTTGCCGAAATTCGCAAGCTTTTAAAATCCTAGGGTTCTCGGTTTCAAAATCAGTTGCATATGTAAAACACTCAACGAGTCAAGTGATGCCACATCTGAACGAAGACCAACGCAACAACGCTATTGGTCGGTTGCAAGCAGGTGAATCTCAGACAGATGTAGTCAGGTTGCTGAATAGTTCCAGATTACCATTTCTCGCCTTTGGGATAGGTACCGACAGCGAATTTCAATACGTGACCGCCCAAGCTCAGGCCCAACAAGTGTGACCCCACCTGCCCTGGATCGTCACATCCGGTTACGTCATTTGCGGAAACGGTTAACAACAGCGACCTCTACAGCAGCAGCAATTCCTGGACGGCGTAGGATCTCAGACTAGACAGTCAATAGACGCCTACGTGAAACCAAATTACGAGCCAGACGACCCGTTAGAGCTGTTGTTATAAAATACGCCGACACCGTCAAATCCGACTTCAGTGGGTTCAGACACACAGGGTATGGCCACAGCAACGCTGGAGAACAGTTTGGTTCAGCGACGACTCGCGGTTCCTTTTGCAACGAGGCGATGGTAGAGCGAGGGTATACCGACGACGAAATGTCACTATGCGTTTCTTTTTTTTTTTTCATTTTTTGAAGAGTATATAAGAACATTTATTTCCTGTATTTGGTGAATTAATTGTTATGTTTAAAGACCGCATAAATGGGCATATACATGTGGTACGTAGAGGTATGCACTTAAAGCCAGTGTTTATTTGGTTATTATAAAACTGACACAAATCTGTAAAGCACACATCATTACTATATCACTTGCACTTACGTTAATATTCCACAACTTAGCAATTGAAATTAAAACTACCATATTGTGCCATATTATTATATAATCTACCTTTCAATATAATTTGTAGGATTGAACATAGACTGTGATAATTATATAAAGTAGATATTGATTAATAATATGAAGTCATGTTTGAGGTATGATATTTTAAGTCATTTTCTTCAATTAAAAATCAAAATCATTTTTTCAATGACTTTACTAGTATCTTTAATTTGATATTGTCCTCACATTGCATCACCTTTCATTTAAATTGCATTTACCTAAAACATAATACATTATATTATCATTATTGTTATTGAATAAAGAGAAATTCACATACACGATTTTGCTTTTCTATCATTGGATATAATAATTGTGTAATACATGTACAATATATTCTGATATTAGAGTGTCGCCTACAAGTTTCGATATGCTGATAATTACACACATTTTAAAATGGTAAAATGTTAAATAGCACCCCCCCCCCCCCCAAAAAAAAAAAAAATATATATTCATCTAAATACATCCATAATTAATTGAGGTAAATTCACCCAAAATAGATAATATTGCGATACACAAGATAGGTTTATAAGGGACTGGGTGATACAGACTGCTACAAACAACTTATTTCCGGGCTGATGAAGACGAATTTCGGCAAGTGACAGCGCTTCACGTTTGATTTGTAATTAATAACGCTGTTAAATGACCAATTTAATTACATCGGAAGCTGAATAATGATCAAATAAGGTCTCGTTGGCAATAAAAACGACGGGTAGTGTTAGAACCAGTGAGTATTGTGAGATGTTAGCAGACGTAATGCCTTGAAGACGTGAAAACAAAGATGGCGGCTGAAATACCTTCTTATATACTATAATATATAGCCAAGCAGTAGTAAGAAGTTTTATTTTAATCCCTTCAAGTGCCTGTGTCCACAATCTACGTATTACATACTTTACACAAAGAGCGGCCATTTAGTCGGGCAGTTTCATTCCGATTTTCCCTAAATTCGAATTCAACCTTCCTTCAACAATCATGGGCCATAATCCAGGAAGTTACGTTCAGATATGCGCGATTATCAAACTGAACCAAAATCTTAGTGTGTAACGGCGATATATTCACACATTTTTTATTTTTTTTATATCGGATAAAAATTGTGACCACAAGCTAAAAACGCCAAAATTCAGGAAGTTACGATCTGATATGCGCCAATATCGAAAGGAACCAAGATCTTTGGATTATAAACATATAGTTCAAGTTTTTCATCAAAATCGGTTAACCAGCGGCTGCCAGGCATGATACGCCCACATTTTCGAGAGATGGATAGAAAACAAGCTAAAACGAAAGTGATTTTTCCTACAATCAAGGGCCATAATTCAGGAAATTACAATTCGATATGCGCAAATATCGAAAGGAACCAAGATCGTTGAGTTATAAACTTACATTTCAAGTTTCAACAAAATCGGATAAAAACTGTGACCTCTATAGGGTCCACAACCTTTATATACCATATTTTTACGCAATTTGAGAACGAGGGGCGGCCATTTTGTCTGTCAGTTTTGGGCCGATTTTTACGAAATTTGAACTCAGTCGTCCTTAGGGTGTAACGGTGATATAATAATACGTTTTTTTTAAATCGGATAAAAATTATGACCTCTATAGGGTCCACAAGCTAAAAACGCGATTTTTCGTACAATCAGGGGCCATAATTCAGTAAGTTATGGTCCGATATGCGCGAATATCGAAAGGAACCAAGATCTTTGGGTTATAAACTTACATTTCAAATTTCAACAAAATCGGATAAAAATTGTAACCTCTGATATACCATATTTTTACGCTATTTGAGAACGAAGGGCGGCCATTTTATCTGTCAGTTTTTGGCCGATTTTCACGAAATTCGAACTCAGTCGTTATTAGGGTGTAATGGTGATATAATAATATGATATTTTAAATCGGATAATAATTATGACCTCTATAGGGTCCACAAGCTAAAAACGTGATTTTTCGTACAATCAGGGGCCATAATTCAGGAAGTTACGTTCCTTATGCGCGAATATCGAAAGAAACCGAGATCTGTGGGTTATAAATTTACATTTCAAGTTTCAACAAAATCGGATAAAAATTGTGACCTCTACAGTGTTCACAAGCCAAAAATGTGATTTTTCGTACAATCAGGGGCCATAATCGAAAGGAACCGAGATCTTAGGGTGATAAACCTATATTTCAAGTTTCATTGAAATCGGATAAAAATTGTGACCTGTAGACTGTTCACAAACAATTGTGGACGGACGGACAGGGGCGACGACAATATACGTTCACATGAAAATGTGGGCGTATAAAAATTGTGACCTCTAGAGGTCCACAACCTTGATATACCAGTGTTTACACTATTTGCGTACGGGGGGTGGCCATTTTGTCTGATAGTTTTAGTCCGATTTTCACGAAATTCGAACTCAACCGACATTATGGTGTAACGGTGATATGTTCGAACGGTTTTTTAAATCGGATAATAATTGTGACCTCTAGAGGGACCACAAGCTAAAACGTAAAAGACTGGATAATATAGCCAATGACCTGATAACGTAAAAGACCGAATAATCTAGCCAATGACCTATTATTCTCAAATGTTGACAACCCATTCGTAAAATATTGTCTGAATCACAGAGATTAAGTGAAGACAAGTAAAACAAAATTTTGAACCGCAGAGAAAACGAAATAAAATAGGTTCTGTGTTTTAATTAGATTGGAACTTACTTAAAGGAGGCAAGTCTTAAACTCAGCATCATCCACAGTCTTCGACATTGCAAACAAGACTTATTGGTCAATTTAAATCAACATTGATGTTGTTATCTTACCGTGAAAAGTTGGGCTTCTGATATCCAATATTTAAGAGAAATTGAAGATTTTAAAATTGACACACGAATCGCGTGCCAGAATGCCTTCGAGCGCCATTTGTATTGAAGCGACTCGATGAACAAGGCTAAATGTAGCACAGGTGTAGACTGGAATAACCAGACGCCAAAGACTGGCATTCAATTTGGACTTTTCGCGTATTTCGCCGAAAATAACTGATTACAAATTACTGTAAAAAGAGAAACGATTGAATGTAAATCAGTTTATATACATTCATATTACATTATTATATGCTTTTCGACCTATTTGTGTCCATTTCTAGGTGCCGAAGAATAGCGATTTAGCTCCTTTAAATGTAAATACGTCTTTACGAACTGGCAACTAAGCTTCAAGTCTAATTATGGACTGGCGCCTCTCAGCTTTCAAAGGTATGTGCATGGTTAAAGTAATAAACTCCAATAACGGTTTGTCATTAAACTACTATTTATATGTATTGACGCCAACTATGCATTCCCTCAAATTTGTATAATGATTAATGTTCTATATACTGTCGATGCGCTGATCACTAAACGAGATGATGTCACCTTGGCATCCTTGGGGAAATCAAAATATCCAAGATGGTCGGTACGAGACATTTTCTGGTTATTATATCAATGCTAAATCGTGTTATGGATTTTTTCTATCACTGATTATGATATATTTGCGTAGAATGTTGTGATAAATGTAATCAGTACAAATGTCACAAAACAATTTCAAAAGGGAACAAGGAAAACTAATTTTAGATGACTGTCCTTGTTCTAATTTATAAGTTACCTCAATCACCAACAGCTTTCTAATTACTGTGAAATTCATAACATGACGTCATCTATATTATACCGCGAGGTTAACCCAGTGCCGGATTAAGTTATATTTATCATGAGTTGACCGCCAGTATTATGAAAAATATTTACTTAGTTATTATTAATATACACAGCAGCCGCAATCTGTAATTGATATAAGTAGGAAATATGAATTGCATCGTAACATCGTCACAACGTTTGGTTTACAATATTATCTAAGGAAGCCTTTGTCAAATCAGAGTAAACAAGTAGCGTGTTCTCACTTACTAAATATTGAAAGTGGACGATAATACTGTAAAATACCAGTAGATGAACGTATAGTAACGACACTGAAGATGAATTCCGTTTTGTCCTGAAGTGTCCTGTTTATAAATCGATCAGAGAACAATACCTTAAATCGATAATTTCATATTTTCTAAGAAAGTCAAAACATAATTATTTCGATGTCTTTTGCTCAATAGGTTGTCAACTCACTATTATGCGATTATATGTATCATTCTCCCACTTATAAATCCTTGACCCCGGAAATAATAACACAATTACCTCCCTTGTTTTTCAATTCCCCCAATGGAATAGCTATCTTCAAACGTTTGAATTTGAAGTTGAAAATGACATTTTTGCCAATTTCTCAACTGGCAATAGTGAATTATAGGATTATTCTTTAACAAGGTAGGACTGTTTATAGATACAATCTATTTTAAGGCTTTATTTTAATACATTTTAAAAATATGAAATTGCAACCTTAAATGGTACTATTTTGTAATCACAGTTCTAATAGTTTTTGTAATAACTTTTCTGTATTTTCAGGCCACCTATCAAATATGCCTTAGGGCCAGCAGAGTGAGTCTTAATCCGGCACTGGGTTAACCATGACGGAATGTCTTTTTTAAATACGGATTTTATAAGCTCCTGACTGTGTTAAAGATACTCCTGTATGTAAAGATAGTCGAGATAGAGGCCACGGTGGGCTATTTAACGCATTATTTTCAAATTTATGAAAATCAACAAGTTCACTTACAGGGCCTTAATATACTTGAGGGCTATTTAAGAAAACCAATATAGTGACGTAATTAGAATCCATCCAATCAATAACACAATCATTGAAATTACTTGGAATGATTGTGGAAATGGCACGTACTAGTGGCCAAATTAGTGAGAAATAAGGAATTGGTTTAAGATATTTAGCTGTTACATTGTAGCATATGTCAACAGTATTTGTGAAATCGGAAGTTTTTGAAAAGTTGCTGTTTCCTATGCAAACGAATTACGGAATTTGGAAAAGAATCAAAGTCAATAATTTTGTATTTTAAACTGTGTTATAGCCTCCTGGAGGGTTTGCTGAAGTATTGTGAGAAACTTTCTGAAAATCCGAAACGAATAAAGAGTACGTGTTAAGAGAAACAATAGATGGGTACAAAGCTCAATTAATGGTTTGGAAAGATAAAAATGAACACATGGGCAGGAATTAGATAATATTAATACACTTATACATTGTACAAATAAACTGCAGCCAGTATACAAATCTTTAAAGTGATTGATAGTAGGCCACAATAGAAGTCAATAGAGAATCAGAGTATCAAGACTTTTTTGCACTGGTTAATTATATAAAATTATGACAATAGGCAATTTTTAAAGGATGGGC